TGGTGCAACAACATTTGGATTTTCACTGAACTAGCATACCGAATTTATTGGTACCTAGCTGTAGCCTCGTATGTGTCAACTGGCGTGGTGCGTGTATGCATGTATTTTCTAATGGCTGTTGTGTTAAGCGTCCAATGGAAATTTTCGTCACTATCATTGCATATCATGTCCATCCTGTTTCATCAACTACACAGCGAAATAGTAGCTGCTGTTGGCATTAGTCAACATTAGGCTGCTGTTGGCATTATATTGCTGCATGCAAAGCAATATAACTATTTTCAACGTACACCGCTTCTTATTACACCTTTTTATGTATGCTATGGTGTCACGTTGTGCACACTAGGCACTGTATGCAACAAAAAGCACCATGTGGCCTCTATATTACTCCTCATGGCGCAGGAAATTTCCAAGGAGACATTGAATACAACAATCCAAAGATGACAGTAAGAACTTATGAACAACATTTACAGACGGCATTACATACGGCATTTCTATGAAGACGCTATGTACAACGTTTTCGGTGACATTACGTACAACGCTTAGGAGTCATACCATCCAACGTTCTTTGAATACATTGCGTTCGACATTCCTAAGGAGACAATATCTAGATTTCTACAAGTAATTTCGTCCAATCTTTCTAAAGACGTCACCTAGAGAAATTCTGAAGAGACTTCGTTAGAGAAAATTGTTACATTTTGTGAATAAAGAAAAAGTGTTCGTAGATACTTTAGCTTCAGCTTCTTGGGTAAACAGGGGTCCGAATGTGTTAGAATACGTAAAGCTAGCCATTCGCAGAGCGAGGAAGAATTCATCCCCAACACGAAGCAAAATCAACGCAAGTATTACAAATGAGTTCTGTGGAAACCCGTAAGGTGGCGGAAACGTTAGGAAAAGGAAAGTGTCTGTGTGTTCATGTACTTCGAGTTGTCAATGAATTCGCTTTCGCGCTGTCAATTACTAGTTTCCTGGTTTTCTGAATCGGCAGAGTGACCGTCCCGGAAAGGCATTAGTCTCGCTTTTAAACTCCGAATCAGGATGAATTTTTCAGCAACTAAGAAGCTTTCTGAGAAACATGTACAGATTTTTCTCGTGGCTTCGTGCTACATAGGGTAGCTGTCTTCTTTCCCTTTATTATGCTAGATTTAGTGCACATAGCTCCGACAGTCGCGTATACTCACTCCATTTCGTTATAACGCTCAACGTCATTGTAAATGTAAAACAAAGCATGAAAACAGTTAACAGAAATGAGGGAAAAGAGTGCATGGAGGTGGCCGCAACAACGCACACTGTCTAAAGTATAGAGATTTTCCCGTTACCGCTGAGACATATCCGAGATTTTTAAGTGATTAACGCATACGCGCTGGAAGCGTCGTACAATATCTGCAGCTCAAACTACCGTCTTTAAGCCAACCGAAACCATTCATTATACACAGCGTGCCTAAGTGTGAAGTTAAAAAAATTTTTAACAAGTGTTTCAAGCTGGGGTCCCCGAAGATTTCAGTGATGTAATTCCGTCATGGGAATGATGTCTGAAATTATTTTCCCATGACAAAATTTCCGTCAACGGGAGTCGAACCCACAACCTCGCGGTCGGCGTCAACAGCTGCAGTGCACGCTATCCACAACGCCATGGTCACATACCATGCACGCTTTGAAACGCGCCTTTTATATCTCAAAGTAGTACCGGTAAAGTGCAATAATGCATCATGACCGTGGTTCTGATGCATTGACCGTGGTTCATGATGACGCGTCTGTTATATGCGCCCATCTTTTTCATTGCGTTTCCGAAAGAAGTGAAATTTCGTGAGGGCCTTAACAAGCTGCAAAGTGGTGATCTTACCCGAACGTCGGCATGGCTCATAGCATCCATCCATACCAAAAACAGTTCGGAAAAGCATACATCCACGCGCTTAATTGCTTCCCCTGAATGTAACTTCGCATTCACCGCTTAAGCTCGCCCCGCGAACGATCGTGGCCCGTCAAGAGAGAAGACGCAATGCGCGTTGCGTTTTGCTAATGAGGCACTGACCTTCAATAACTATAAGATAACGTGAGTAGATGAGTTTAGGCTGAATTTGGCGTAGAAACAGTCTCAGTCTTCTGGCTGTCACACAAGTTTCTCTGGTTTAGCTTTCACCCTTAATCACTAGAGCTACCTCAGACATATAAGCCCCCAAGGGCATATTTAATCAGTCATTCATTATTCATGGACATGTATGACTTAGCGTCAACGCGGATTCACGAAAAACGGTGCCTATATTTAGTTGTTAAACACTTACAGACATAATAAAAGCTCTCTTACATCTATGTAAAATAAGCATTAAACTACCTCAGTAAGCACACGTTTTACTTTCGTGCTTTACGATTCATAAGATGTAAGGATCAACTAGTTTTTTTCCCGTTTCTATATGCCCCACCGCGGTGGTCTAGTGGCTAAGGTACTCGGCTGCTGACCCGCAGGTAACCGGATGAAATCCCGGCTGCTGTAGGCCCATGTGCTCCGGTTTGGGTGCACGTCAAAGAATCCCAGGTGGTTGGAATTTGCGCAGCCCTTCACTATGGTGTCTCATAATCACATGGTGGTTTTGGGGCGTTGAACCCAGCATATAAATCAATCCCGTTGCCATGCTCGGAAGCACGCTGCATACTTGAGTATTGGTGGAAATGTTATTGTGATGGAGACTAAAGAGCACCTCAAAACAATATCAAGTGCTATCAGCAGTGCATAGACGATGTGCGATCAGCTAATAATCGCTCTTGATTAGTCACTGCAACACTAATTTTATGAGTGACGCAATCACTTATAAAACAACGCGCACAGCGGCGTCAACTATTTAAGTGACAATTTTAATTGAGCATATGCTCTGCGAACGTAGGCTATTGTTGAAAATGGCTGGTGGCCTACCTCTACGGAGCTGCTGCAGAAGCCCGGCTAATGCTGTGTAATTAGTGCCTACGAAAGCAGTACACTCACCGTTAACAGGGGCCTGTTGTCCGTTCTGCAGCTCCATTCATTTTCTTCCCTCCAAGCGTCACTGCGAGCATGGAACCTGGCGCGACCGCCGCTGATGACGCGCATGTACGCTCGAACCACAACACGCGAGCAATGCGAGCAGTGCAGCCAACGCAATGCATTCAAAACGACGAAGGAATCGTGGAGGAGAAGGTTGCGGATGCGCAGGCGCCGTGCGAGAATCTGTCAAGAGGATACTGAACGGCAAAGGCGCGATATGTATAGTCCAGACGGCAGCGCCTTCATTACGGTAGCCAATGGAAACGCGCTTGACGGGAGTGCTTTGACTTTTCTAAAGATGCTAACTCTCTTGTGCTTCTTATACCTTTTAAAAGGGGTCAAGTGAGTGCCTGAAGAAAACTGGGGTGCTGGGACCCTCTTTTGACTCTTTTTCCTCCCACTTAGAGTGCAAATTTGTGCCTTCGAAATTTCATTACTCTGTGGGGATCACCACAATTAACAAAAAGGAGGAAGAGAAAAAACTTTAATGAAAGTGCGGGAAGTTGGTTGGGTGGGTCAATGGCCCCACCTAGGTTACGGCCAGGAGTTCTTGAATCCTAGCGGCTTCCTCGGCCTGCTGGACGGCCCACACCAGAACTTTGGCGGCTGGGCTGAGCAGTGCGGCTTCCGAGCGCGCGCGACAGCTGTCACTAGAGGCTGCGAACTCATAACGGCACTAATACCTTGGCATTGTTTTACCATATGCTTCAAAGTGGCTCAGAAGTCAGAATGCTTGTACTTCTCGGTTTCGTGGATATCGAGGTATATAATGTGTGAGAAAACATGATTCAAAATGTCCTAGTTTGTAGCTGCTGTTATTACAAAGACTGTTCTTTTTTGTGAATCTTGGGAGAGGGGGCGGATGGCTGTCTGTACCCTATAGTGTTTTGTATTGCCACACTATCTCGTTATACTGTCTTCCCACTTCCCCTCGTCTACTGTGCGGTCATCAGTGGAGCATGCTGGGCAGTAATTTAGAGTGCAGCTCGGTCGGTAAGGCCTCGAGCTGTGTCAGACATAACAAGAAGAATATTACGAATATGATACTTGTACAAAGGAAGACCGCTAAATTTATGTTTGGAAAATCAAAAAGAGAACATTCCCTGTCGTTAGTAAGGCTTACCGTTAAAATAAGTGTACTCTCAAACACGTGGAAAATTAGTGGTTTTCGGAAGCACTTCTTATATAGCCTCATGAAAAGGCAAACTCGACTTCAATTGCCTTTTTTTGTAACACCTCTAAAAGCACGAACAGTTAGACAAACACACAGCTTTTCGCATGCGGCAATACTTTGTAAGACTAAATTTTACAAGAACAGCTTTTATCCGCACAACATAACCAAATGATATTCCTTCCCTCTTCATGTCAAATAATTTAGCATAAACAATACGCCATGTTTTAAACTATCTTTGTCATTTTATTGCGAATTTTCGTTGTGCTTAGAGACCTGTTGCTGTTAAGGCAGTATTCTTTTTGTCTTACCCAAGCATAAGTTTATCTGTGTTTACTTTGTTTATTTTATTTCTTATTACGCTTTATTTCTCTAATGTTTTTACCCGGAGTTTAACACAAAAGTTTCATTTCTTTTATTGTGCCAAGGAAGAATTTGGTTTTTCGCCCTGTAAATTGTGTAAAGCTGCTGGTCTCATAATACTGAAATTTCGAGCAATATTACGTGGAGGTACATACCATCCGGCCCAGTGATACCTTGAAAAGAATGTGCGAAAATTGACGAATAACGAGAAATATAATGATTGAAAGTAACATAAAACGCAGAAATACATTTAAGCGAAGGATAAAGACAGCCAACAACTGTAGAACATCAGCAAAATTAAGCTTGCAGATTACTCTTTTTTGTCCGCGCAAAAAAAATCCTGCTATCCAAACTTAATGTCAAGAAAGCATCTCCCAGTAGTTTTGTTTGCCTAATAAAAGAAGGGAAATGTGTAGTGCGAAGACAAGGTTAGAGTACAAAAATAAACGTCACCATGATGGTGGTGTCCTTGACGCAGCGTCTGCTGATGAACAACACCACGGGCGGATAAATGCGCAGCGCCTCCTGGATGACCATGTCTAGTCGCTTGAGCTGCTGCACGCCCTCGTAGACGAGCTCACCGTCGGTCCCAAATGCGGCCTCGATCTCCTCGTGAAGCCTCTCCTGCTCATCGGGATGTGTTGCCAAAAGGTACATGAGGAAGCCAAGTGAAGTGGCCGTCGTCTCGAAGCCAGCCACGAGAAAGATGAAGGCGTTGCCAACCACGTGCCGGTCCTCAATGAGACGGACGTCTCTACTGCGCAGCAACATGTAGAATTGTTTCCCTTGCAAAAAAACTTGCATCATATCTGCAGAATCTCTACAGTCCATCAGTCATCCGCGATACAGATTGTATGAAGATAAGTGACAAACTTTAGGTCAACCCTCTCTCACGTCCGAGTAGGCGATTGGTACACCCGTTCTGGAGAAAGTCTGCAGAGCATTTGTAGCTGTGGAGTATGCAGCAAGCCTGCGGAATATCTTTGGAACGTCTGCAGGAAGTCTACAGAAATTCTGCAGCACTTCTGCAGAATATCCGCAATGCATTGTCACTGTGAACAGAGTAATCAATAGCTACTATTTGTGTTAGCCCAAACATTCAAGGAACATGCCGCACCGAAGGGTATAATACCGCTCATACACCCACCAAACACGTGCCCAACACAAACGCAACAGCAGCAAAGTAAATACCAAACACATAGCTTCTCGCACTTCACAACCTAACAACAGCAACCCGGTATATATAGCCATGGTATTTTGGCAGGCCATTGAGTGCCGGTAGGAAAATACGTATGCTTCAAAATTTCACATTTATACATACGCAGAATAAGCGCATAATTATGGTGACCATGAGGTAACAAGAAAATACGCATATTTTTTAATATATGTAGGGGAAATGTGCAATGTTCTTTTAATTAGCGACATTTAATTACCAGCTGAGAGGCTGTTCCTTGGGGATTCAGAAAAGCTGCAGCCTTTTTCGCAGACAATTTGCAGACTAAGGTGACTGGTGGGTGACTGAAAGGTGAAGCCCCTTTAGTGATTGTAATATAATGTGTAATGACCCATACTATATATATATATATATATATTTACATTGCCCGCATTAACAGACAAGTCTGCTTGGCGTCTGCAGAAATTCTGCCGACTAGGTCTGTACGGGCGCGACTTGTGCGTAACTACAAGGTGAAGTGAAGTTCGTTATCGTTATGAATTGTGTCGTGACCCACAGTTGTATAGATATACGTATGTAATATATACATACACACAAACACACACATGACCCCCATAAACAGACATGTCTGTTCGGCGTCTGCAAAAGATCTGCTGAAAGGGTCTGTAGGGGGGTGACTGGTGGGAGACTGAGAGGTGACTGAGAGGTCAAGTCCATTTAGTGAATGTTATCGATTGTGTCATGACCCAGAATGTATAAATATATCGTATATACTATATGCATCCACACACGCGCTCAAAGGGCCCAGATTAACAGAAAATTCTGCTTACCCTCTAATCGACATCAGCAGAAAATCTGCAGACGAGGTCTGTACGGGGATGACCTGTCGGTGACTAATACGTGACTGAAAGGTGAACCTATTAAATCATTACAATCAAACGTGCCACCTTCCGAAATGTGTGCATACATACATATATGTATGTATGCACACATTTGAAGAAGTGCTCAACGGCCAAGTGAAAATTCACGATGAAGTGCTTGAACTAAAGAAACAGTTTATTGAATTGAGAAATATGGTACGTGATTTCATTACGGCACAAAAGGATTCCCAAGAACGCAGCATTCCCAGTGAAAAGGTGGGAACACTACAATCACTGGAACATATTGTAAACTTTCAAAACAAAAAGCTTACCGACCTCGAAGACCATTCCAGACGGTCGAATTTAATTATTCACGGTATTCCCGAGTGCCCTAGTGAAACCGATGCAACCCTGAGGGAAAAAGTGTTTAAGGAAATATTCACAGAAAAGCTTGGTGTGAAATGTGATTCCATCGGACGCACACACAGACTAGAAAAATAAACTGGTAAAAGGCCTATCATCCTCCACGTTTGGAATTTCAATGAAAAGAAAGAAATATTAGAAAATGCCCAAAAAACTGAAAGGATCGACGGTATCTATTCAAAATGATTATTCACAGTCGACACTTAGGAAACGAAAAATGCTGTGGGACAATGCTAAGAACGAAAAGCAACAAGGAAAAAAAGTATTCTTAGTACACGACAGGCTTATAGTAGATAAAGATACATTTTATTGGGATGAATTGCAAAACAGGCGAGTAAAAGCAGGAGACCGTCAATCTTCCAAGCCGCACGCATGACCTATTCAACAATATGTAACAAACAGTTAAGTCCACTAAATATTAATACCCGAAGCATTGTGAATAAAACTGAAGCGTTCGAAGTTCTTCTGCTGCAACATGATCCACATATTACGGTTGTTACCGAGACTTGGCTACATGAGCATTTGCCTAATGACGACGTCTTCCCTCCATCTTATACAGTTTTTTGTAAAGACAGACGCACTAGCGGAGGAGGGGTGGCTATATTGGTAAAACAGTGGATCGATGCTGTTTTGTTGGATGATCTTGTTGACATAGAATGCTTATGTATTAGGGCTACATGCTGGAGTCATTGTCTTGTTGTAATTGGGTTGTACAGACCCCCAGACGTTACTCCAGAATACCTTAGCACACTGAAAATTTATATGGCCAAATTTGAGAGTAAAAAGGTCTTACTGATTGGTGACCTGAACCTACCCAGAGTAGACTGGGAGCGCCTTGACGCCGGCATTAACACTTCAAAACATGTTAACATAGTGTTTGACATCATGCTTATACATGACCTATTGCAGGTAGTTCAGGTACCTACGCGCGTACAGAGGGATTCCACCTCAATATTAGAGATATTGTGTTTCTGAACCGCAATTTCTCCGAATATACAGTAGAGGTAAGACAAGGTCTTTCTGATCATAGCTATGTCTTCACTTCCTTTCCTCTTGTTCCAGCAACTGACCATAAAAACCCGGTATTTCACTGCTTTAAAGACTTTTCCAGGGCTAATGATGCAAACATAATTGAACACCTAGAAACATGTCTTACAAATTTTGATGACGTGAATGTTAGCGTGCTTTGGACACAATTCAAACAAATGTGTCATTTTTGTTTAGATATATTTGTGCCTTCCAAGCACAAAAAAAGTTAACAAACAAACACCATATATAAATTGCAACATCATTCATATGAAGCGCAATGTTAAGCGACTGAAAAAAAGGTGGGCAATGGCTGATTTGATACATGATGCACACAACAGTCTCGCTCAGACTGTCCGCAGCTCTGGGGAGTATTACTTTAAAACCTCCTTACCTAACTTCATTGCAAATGACCCCAGTAAATTCTGGAATTTTATCAGTGAAAAGAAAATACCTGTATCCCAAATATCGATTGATGGAACCAACGTCACCGATTAGAGAGACATTGCACGGCATTTTAATCAATATTTCCAGAGTGTGTTCAACACTTCTGATTTCAACTCTATATCTAATGCTACAGCCTTTACTTATGCTGAAGCGCTGTTTATTTCTTATCCAGGCGTGGTGTCTATGTTGCTAAATAAAGAAACTAAGGCATCCTGTGGTCCTGATAACATACCAAACGTGTTTCTACGACGATATGCTTTATCTCTAGCAAAGTTTTTGTTATTATTTTTTAATGTTCTTTGTTGTCTTCCCAGCTGCCCAGTGACTGGAGGGCAGCCGACCTTGTACCCATCTTTGAAAAGGGGGACCGCTTAGCACTAGGAAATTACCGTCTAATCTCACTAACTTCACAACGTCGTAAAATTATTGAACACGTCATAGCTACTAGTAAAAACAAGTGTATTGAAGAACGCTCTACATTAACCATGTATCAACATGGTTTTCGGAAAGAATTATCCACCGTAACTCAACTCGTCACACTGTTTCACTCTCTTGCATTAAACATCGATAGACACGGGAGGACAGATATGCTCTTCTTAGATTTCTGCAAAGCCTTCGATAAAGTTCTCCATAGTAAACTCATTTCCAAACTTAGAACAATAGGTATACCCGAAATATTCGTTTGTTGGATTTCTGCGTATTTAAATGATCGCGAACAGTACGTTGATGTAGGGGGCCAATATTCGGACAGTCTTCCGGTCACATCGGGCGTACCACAGGGCAGTGTGTTAGGCCCTTTGTTTTTTCTATTGTATATCAATCAATAATATTGTTGATGTTATTCACCCTAGTGTGGAAATAAGATTGTTTGCAGATGATTGTGTTTTGTTCAAAACTAACAATTTCAACGATCTCAGCACTAGCCTTTGCAATATATATGAATGGTGCAACATATGGAGAATGTGTCTCAACGCAAACAATACTTCCAGTGACTCGCCAAGAGAATCAACAATTGTATACATACATATCAGGGTCTTCACCACTGCAACAAGTAAACTCCTACAAATAGCTTGATGTGACACTCACTTCCAAATTTTCTTGGAATCTCCTTATTGATAATGTTTGTTCATCTGCCTTTCGTAAACTATGTCTTCTTAAACATAAGCTTCAAAGTGCTCCTACGAATTTTAAACTACTTTGTTACACAGCCCTTGTGCGGCCAAAACTAGAGTACGCGAGCATAGTATGGGATCCTTATACAAAACGTAATATATACACTCTTGAGCGTATTCAAAGAAAACCTGTTTAATTTATATTCAACAAGTACTCAAAGTTAGACTCACCCTCAGATTTAATGCTAGCCAACAACATTCCCTTACTGCAGATGCGAAGACAAAAAGCTAGATTAGAATTCTTTGATCAACTTTTGAACAAAAAAATAGCTCTAGACCCATACCCGTATTTGACACCCATTAGTAGCCGGCACACCCCACACCAACATCCTAAGGCCTTGATCCCATATTTTTATCGCACAGACCTACTGAAGTATTGGTACTTTCCAAGAACCATATGTGAATGAAACTGTCTTACTAATACATGTGATGAATGAACTAACCTACCAAACAACCTTCTTCGCCCTTTATTGTTTCATTTTGCAATTATTTTATTTCTATGTGTATTACCACCCTGCTTGGACATCGAGTCTGCAGTATAGAATAAATAAATAAATAAATAAATAAATAAATGTGTTACATACGGCTACGTGCCGCACTTTGGATGCACATTATCAGAAACGTATGCTTGCCGTCTGCTCGGCGTCTGCTCTGC